CCACCTGTAGTTTCCTTTAAAACAGATTGAGGCTCCGTCCACGGAAGCCGATGGAACATCGGTGCCGATGCTCAGCGTCTACTTGCGGAAGCTGCTTGGCTGCTCCGGGTTGTGCTCACTCTAGCTTTACGATTTAGCGTTTAGGGCTTAGTTTTCAGGGTTTAGGACTTAGGGTTTAGGGTTTAGGGTTTTAGGGTTTTAGGGTTTAGGATTTAGGATTTAGGGTTTAGGGTTTCAGGGTTCAGGGTTTAGGGTTTAGGGGTGGTGGCGGTGGTGGTGGCGGCGTCATTTTCTCAAGCTTCACTCTCAAAGTTAATCAAGACTCCATTTCGTTTCGGACTGTTGCTTAGGGGTTAGGTGCAGCAGCATAGGCCCGACAGTGGAGACTGTGTTGAGTTCTTTGGCGATGAAAGATCCCATCGCTGGGCTGTGCATGCGGGCTGCAAGGACATGGAGTTCGTTTTCGAGTTCGCATTGTGCCCTAAACCCTAAACCGCCTCCCTTGAGGTTCTTCTTGAGGAGCCATGTTCTCGGTATCATCGACGTTATCGGATGTAGTTCGTAAAGGGTTGAATCCAGCCTTCGAACTAATCTCTACCTCCAAACGGTTTAGGGGTTCAGGGGTTTAGCGTTTAGGTGTTTAGGTGTTTAGGGTTTAGGGATTCTGCCGTCGTTGAAATCTGCAAAACCGATCGGTAATCTCAAGCTGCCAAGCCCGTACTTCCAGTTTAGGGCTGTGGCAATTGGAGGCAGTATTTCAAATCATGTCCCACGCCGATGTAGCATCTCCATGGCTTTCATCGTCCATAGGCCTTCGCCGATTCCGGGTTTTTGGCCTAGGCCACGTGCTGAGCTTTTTCATAACCCCCAACCCCTAAACCTTAAACCCCGAAAGCTTGACGAAACTTCACGCCCTGAAAAGTCAAAGCTTGAGCCACAATGAGGCCTAAGTCTCACTCTTAGAGCCCTTAAGAATTCCAACCCCGGCCCCAAACCCTAAACCCCACTCTTAGACCCCTTAAGACTCCCAACCCTAAACCCTAAACCCCACTCTTAGACCCCTTAAGAGTTCCCACTGTCCGAGGCGGCCCCTCTTCGCCGGCGAGCAGCAGCGTGGCGACTTCGACGTGGTGTCCGTGCTCGGCGAGCAGCAGGCCGGCTCTTCTGGTGAACCGAGGGATACTTAGGAGCCTAATAGGTAAACTTTAAACTTTTTTGGTATATGAAACCCCCTAGTAAAAGAAAAGTTTAAACTTTTTTGGGCCGAGATATTGGGCTCAAAGGGATATTTAGGGCTTAGGATTTAGGGACGAGGATTTAGGGCTTAGGGTTTCGGGACTAGGATTTAGGGTTTAGGGTTTAGGATTTAGGGTTTAGGGTTTAGGGACTAGGATTTAGGGTTTAGGGGTTTAGGGTTTCAGTTTAGCGGTTTAGGGGTTTAGGGTTTAGGATTTAGGGTTTAGGGTCTGGGCTTCAGGGTTTAGGGTCGATGGGTTCAGGGTTGAAGGTTGAGCCTAGTAGTAGGGTGGGTCACTTTTAACCTCTCAGGGGTAGCATAAACCCTAAACCCTAAACCCTAAACCCTAATCCCTACACGTCTATACTTAGTTTAGGGTTTAGGGGTTTAGGGGTTTAGGGTTTAGTTTTTAGGGTACTATACTTCTTTTTTAGGGGGGTCCTCATTATAACTAAAGTATAATATACCCCAAAAACCTTTTCTAATTATGAAGGCCCCTACCACCCTAAAGACCCTTATAGTAGCCCTTTATAGAACCCTTTAAGGAAACCCCAACACCCTACTCTAATAGTTAAGGCCCCTACATTAAGTAAGTTCCAAGCTCGAACCTGGAGCTGTTGTTGTGGGGTTTAGGGTTTAGGGGTTTATTGTTTAGGGTTTAGGGGTTTAGGGTTTAGGGTTTAGGGTTTAGGGGTTTAGGGTTTAGGGTTTAGGGGTTTATTGTTTAGGGTTTACAGGTTTAGGGTTTAGGGGTTTAGGGCTTTGGGTTTAGGGTCTAACGATGATAGTTCCTGAAAAAGGTAGGTTTTGTGGGCTACAGGCAAACCCTAAACCCTAAACCGTGGAGCAGCAGTTTGTTTTCTCACTTTCCTCGTGTTCAAGGGTGTGGAGTCTGGGATGTTCGGATGGTTTTGGGACTCCTGGGTTTAGGGGTTTAGGGTTTAGGGTTTAGGGTTTAGGGTTTAGGGTAGTATGAAGCAGGGTGGAGGTTATGTTCCATATTGTGAAGCTTTCAAGCTTCTAGATGAGTTAAAAGGCAAGAGCGTAGCAGAATCAGAATCTTACAGGGTCCCTAACTTAAGCCCTAAAGCCTCAAGCCCTAAACATCTTACAAGGGACCCCAACTGGGAAGACACCTAGAAGACCCCAATGAGCTGTGAAGAATCTACAAAGCCCCAGTTAAGAGAAAGCTCCCCACAGGTACTGATCCACGAGTGCTTCTAGAATGGGGCAAAGCGCGGTTGAAGTCCTTACAGCAAAGCCCTGTAGCAACGTCGCTTGGATTTTGCTACACCTAGCGCACAACCCTAAACCACAAACACTACCGTGTAGTTAACGCAGGAAAGAATAAACCCAAAACCCTAAACCCTAAACCCCTAAACCCCTAAACCCTAGACCAGGTGACGATCCACAATTGCCTCTTCCAAGCCGACCTGCTCCTTGGTTTTGGTTTTGGGATATGTGGTTTAGGGTTCACTTTCAGCGACACTAACGGGCGACATCTGCATGGAGGACATAAAGGGCTTCGAAACCTTATGTTTGGGGGTTAAAGTCGCAAGAAAGACTCTTTTGCTAAACCCCCAGAAACCCTATGGGTAGTAACAGTCTGCGATAGGGCTTTTCCGGTTTAGGGTGTAGGCTTTGCGTCTGTTTTTTGAGTTTAAGTTTGTTTTTGAGTTTAAGGTTTTTTAACTTGAAAGTTCCAAGGTTTTTAATAGAGGGGTTTAGGGTTTAGGGCTTGGTTCTGCAGGTGGTTCTGCAGGTCAAAATGAAGTGCAAGCTCGGGAAGGTCCGATCATATAACAGCCTGGGTTTAGGGTTTTGGGTTTAGGGTTTAGGGTTTAGGGTTTAGGGCTGAATTGGTACCAACAGTATTCAATAGGTTTCCTTATAGTATAACTGGCGTAGAATATAGTATAGGAGCCTAAATAATTACTAACACTATTTTGGGGGGTTCCTCTTTATAATTATAGTAGCATATACCTCGAAACCCTTTTTCGAATTATTAAGGCCCCTACACTAATATATTTCCTGCCCCTCAACCCTAGACTTAGAGCCTAAAGCCAAACTACTTTAGCCTAAACCCTAAACCCTAACTAAAGTCTGCTCCATTGCACCTTAAAAACTAAACCCTAAACCCTAAACCCTGAACCCTAAACCCTAAAAGCTTTAACCTAGAAGCTCCATATATACTACGATTGTGGAATGAGGCCCTTATAACCATAAGAAGGATTGTCTTTTGGGACCTAATGGGTAACTACTCGCCTAAGCCTTAAACCCTAAACCCTAGCTAAAGTCCGCTCCATTGCACCTTAAAAACTAAATATCATAGTTCCCCAATACCCAACCTTAAAACTTCTTCGGTTCTTATAGTGTAGTAGTAACCTAAAAGTTTAACCTTTTCTTTCCCTGGCTTATTGGGGAAGTAAGTTAAACCCTAAGCCCTAAACCCTAAACCCTAAATCCTAGGCCCTAAGCCCTAAACCC